TGGCTCATTGTTTAACCCGATGGCAACACAGGCGGAATTGTGTTGTTTCTAATAATCTGATTTCAAAATATTTGTTTGTATCACTCTTGTGAGCATTTATGTCATGTGGGTTTTATAACGCACAAACATGAGAGGTGGAACAAATTAAATTAAAATCACTAGAGCAGAAAGCATATTTATTAAACAATGCATCAAACTTCTTTGGTTTCACTTGAGTCCATCCTATGTTGGTAAATAGTAATGCTCGGATATCAACTTTGAAACAAGTGAAATTTAACCTTGAGTCTTTTATTGCATTCCATCTTGACCAATAAGATAAACATTTCAAAACGGACACGTCTTACATTTAACATCAAAGAGGCTGTCTGTTCACTAGAAAGACATTCTCTTGAAAGCCCTTGTCTCTTTAGGATTTCTTAGTGAAGTGAAACAGAACTAAACCGTAGTGGGGTTTCATAAAATGTTCAAATATCCTGAATGATCACTAGGGCCGCAGTGGAGGAAAAAATGCTAAACTTAGGTAATGCTACAGTTTTGTGCCTGTGTGTTCGGAGACTAAGTAGCAATTATTAAGGCATGAAATTAACAATTTAGAAATGTTTTGCTGGAAAATATATGCAGTACACTTATGTTAATTGCTAACAAAGTGTACAATTCAATCACCTAGCAAAAGATAAAAACAAGCATGAGAAAGAGAGAAGCAGGTTAGAAGGTAGAATGCTACTGAGCAGAAAGTTTTGTAAATTGTGATTGCACAGACCTTAAATCAGTTGAAACTTTCTTGCTTTTACAGCTGTCCTATTGCACACGCACGCACGGGTACTCTAAAGGGCAAAAAAGAAAAAGTGATGGAACACCTGCTATTGTTAAAACTCATCATGGCCTTGCCAATGCCTCGCAATCTTTAATGTTTATCACAGTACTGTTTGCACTAACATCGTATAATAACATACATACTCATATTGACTTATCTGTATATAACTGATCATTGTGATGGAGAGAGTGAATCACTTGGACCTGCCACTCTGTTGTTGGTTTTTTCATGCAAATCTTTTTATTTATGATTTGAATGTTCATCTTCCTTAACCTCGAAGTGAATATGTGTTTTCTAAAAGCCTTCTAATTTAAGATTAACTTAAGCGAGAAGGACTACTTCCTATTCACTCAAAATAGTCTGAGAGAGTCTCAAAAATGAATAGTAAAGTTATATATTCTGTATCTATGTGTTTCTCTGTTGCTGCCTGTCTTGGCCAGGTCTCCTTTCAAACATATATTTGATCTCAATGGGACTTCCCTGGTAAAATAAAGATTTAAATAAATAATAATAATAATAAAAAATGTCATATATATTGAGTCCTATAACCTGTGAGTCATTACCCACTTTGCCACTTTGCCGTTCTCTAGTGCACTTTATTTCTAAATATTTTTTAACTTTTTAAATATTTTTAACTTTATTCTCTTATTTTATACTAACCCATAGCATTAGCATTTCATTTTACTTTATTTTATTACTTGTGCACTGCTGTCTTGTTGTCTATTGTTACACTGTCTACTGTCACGCATCAACCGTCAAGTCAAATTCCTTGTATGTATGACAGATTTTTGGCAATAAATGTTTCCTGATTCCTGATTCCTGAAATAGTTTTTAACTTTCCTTCTCTAGCTTTCTGTCTCCCGGTCCCTCTGTCTTCTCTGTTTGTCCGTCTGGTTTCTAGGCAACAGCAAGTCTCCAGGTAACGCTCCAGCCTTATAAAGAGCCTGCAAATTGCAAACATACTGGCAGTGCAGGCATGAAAAGATCGTTGAAAAATGATGAGAATAAGTTGTTTGCGACAAACGAAAGATTCTTCACCTTGGGTTTAGCCGTTACTCGTCCCCACCAGGGATGAGTCCAATGAGGGTGGTGTGATCAGCAAACCTTAAATGCTTGACGGACTGGTGATTGAAGGTGCAGTTATTGGTGTACAGGGAGAAGAGCAGAGGGGAAGCGCAGAACCAGTACTGATGGTCCGAGGTGCTGAGACATGTTTTCCCTGCCCCACAGAGGTCAGGGCGACAGGCCTGTAGTCACTAAGTCTTGTTCAAGGAACAACAAGGAGTTGGGGACTTTGGGCTTGTAGTGGAATTTTGCAGACAGTAGCAAACTCACCTGCTAAGAGCTGATGCTAGTGCTTCCCAAAGTAAATTCATTTAGCGTCTCTCACCGCTTTGCCAAACCTGTATTTTCAAAAATGTTGTTGGATATCAGTGCCTCTTTCGACATTGTAGTCCACCACATCCTTCTGGAGCACTGGCAATCTAATGGTTTGCCTAGAAAGAACAACCCATTCAGTTTCCATCACCGCTATACTTATAATACACATGGTGGGTCTGATTCCCTGTTTGACTGCCTAAATGGTATCAAGCATTGGATGACAGGTAGCTTACTAAAACTTAACAGGACTTAACAGGAAGAAAAACATTTTTTGGGATCGCCAGACATCATTAAAAATGTAACTGGTGACTAATTACACACTCTTGTTGTGTAAAACTGTATACACTATGAATCCTGTCATTTTATTTTATCCTAATTGGAAATTTGACAAACCATTAAATATTACTGTTACGTCAAATGTCATGAAAAGAAGATTTTTTATTTTTTGAAGTTAATAATCCTCTACATGTTTATTCAGCTTCCACAAGAAAGGTTAGATTACTTTTATACTTTATTGTGAATGCAATGCTCTTTAGTTTGGCATTGGTTGGTTCCCTGAATGGAAATCTAAACCCTTCTATATGTAGGGCTACATCCTTGATCTGTTTGTGCCTTTGTTATTATTAGAATTATTTTATTTAATATCTGGTCGCGGAACAACCTGCCTTTGAGTAACATGGGAAATAAAACGACTACAGTTTTAATAGAACACTTCCTGCAATATGGGGATAAGATTAAAATTCATATCACAGCAGAAAATAGTGACACCATATGGTCTTTGTGTTTCAATGTACAGGATTTCCCTCTCTGTCTATTTATTGTCTTCACTCTTGCTTAAAAAACAGATGGGAGTGATGAAATATGTTTTTTAAAGGTATTTTTGTTACAGAAAACAGATTGTACTACCCACTCAGTTTCTGAAAAGAAAAAATAATATTTCCCAAGTGTCTTGTGCTGGGTTATGAAACCGCATTATTAGCTACACAAGCTCAGTTACAACCTTGTTCAAACTTGTCTGCACCCGCTGGCAAGCAGCAGTGTCCCAGTCGCCAAGCAAAGGTCAGATCACAAAATAATTGTGTAGTAAGAATTTTCTGTCAGCCCCATCACATTTACCTTCCACTCTCGGTTTTTTTACAGTGCAGACTCACCTTGTTGAAAGCCGAGCGACTACCAAAGGATCAACTTTCATGATAGCTTCAACAATTTCACTTCTCTCTACATCTGTCGCTTAGCGAGGAAGCATTCACTGATTACAACATCAAACAAAAGACACCACAGGTGAGCAGACAGCCTAAAGACCTACAGAAAGCCAAACTGCGACAAAATAAAATCCTAAGAAACGATGCCATAAACACTTTGATTGGCAGGTCACCATCATCGCCCAAAAAGTCAGCGGAGCAACACATTGTGTCAATAGGAAGGATTTTATCATGCAGCAGGAGGGCGGCATGAACTCTCCAATAAACCTCACTGAGGAGGACATCAGAGCGAGTGAAAAGGAGACTCAGGGTTGTGACTCGGCTGTTGGGTGTTACCAAGACAAGACAGAGAATTTGCTATTCCTTTTCAACTCTGGTCATCTATTGCTGTGGTTTCAAAGAAATTCTGGGAAAGGGAAATGAGTAACGACAATACAGTACAACTGCAAAAGCTCTTATACATATATATAGCCTCATATTTGACTGATAAACAGTGTTCCTGGGATATTTTAAATTGTAAACTGTCCATGGGAATTAACGAAAATTTACAGATTTATAGTGTTTTTCCCTGAATTCTGTACGCTCAACGTGGGGTTGAGAGAAAAAAATTGGTAGGGGATTGGTAGAGGAAAAACTGTAGGAGATGGTGTACTTTTGTGTAGACATACCGTATTTTCCGCACTATAAGGCGCACCGGATTATGAATGACCTATTTTAGAACATTTTTCATGTATAGGGCGCACCAGATTATAAGGCGCATCAGATACTGCAGTCAAACGTTTGACGTTGGGACGGGTGGATGGGGGGGATGTGGGGAGGTAGCGACGGTGCTTTCAGGGTCTGATCGATGCTCCAAGGTGCGTCCGCTCCCGCCGCCCCCCTCGCCATCCACGCCTTAAATCTTCGGCTGCTCTCCAGCCACACCGCCTGCCAAGGGCCCCTTTTAGAATAACTTATTTTCCCCGTGAAGATGGTTCAGCTACTGTAAAGAAAAGGGCAGCGTCTCTCGCTCTTTATTCTCACTAAGTGCTCGGCAAGAACGACAGCTTTGTTTCTCCGACGCGCCCTGAAACAAGCTCCATATCTCACGCGCATGAGTGCCCGCTCAGCATCTCGCCGTTGTAGACCAAGCTTTGGCATGTTTGGCAGAGCGCCTTGAGCGCCGTGTACAACCAGTATGGATCAACCAAGTAACCAATTGATCCATATATATAAGGCGCTCCGGATTTGTTTTTTGAGAAAATGAAAGGCTTTTAAGTGCGCCTTATAGTGCGGAAAATACAATACATACATCCTACTGTCACTACTATAGAAAGTTATCCTACTGTATTTAAATTGACTTGGTATTGAAATGAACATGGATTAAGTTTACCAAGTAATCAATATGCTAGTTTAAACACTTTAGCAAAAAAAGAAGGTAAAAATTCCCCAAATTCTTGGGCTTAACTTCCCATGCAAACTTTCTGCCCCTTTGCAACCGTATATGGCTACTCATACGAAACTAATCAATGAGTGATTTACAGCATAAAGCAACAACAAAGAGCAAAAAAAAAGAACTTTGCTGCTCTCCTGCCCCAATTCTCTCTCCAATTAAACCCTGTTACCTGCTCCGCTGTCCTCCTCCTCATCGATACTGTTCTTGATGCTATCGTACTCCTCGTCGATGTTCTGGTTGCCGCGGATCTGACTGAGCACGCGGCGGGCCTTCTGGGTCAGCCCACGCTGGATCAACCAACGAGGGCTCTCAGGCAGAAAGAGGAATCCAATAAACTGGAGCACGGCGGGGAGCACCGACAGACCCAACATGTACCTAGAGAGGGAGGGGGATACTAGGAGTGAGCAAACCAATCATGATCACAGAACCTATATAAGCAGGTGTTGTTGTTTTTGAGAGCTCAGAAATAGGTTGAACTAGTCACTCAAATTGAAGTTTACATTCATGTCTGTCCAAAATGGCATCACTTCATAATTTTGGTCCAGGTGGATGTTTGTGCCAAATGCCAAGAAATGACCTTCAGGTATTGTTCCTAAGATGTTGCGTTCACGAGAATGATGGACACACAGACGACCCAAAAACATAATGTCTTCAGACAAGGCTGTTTCTGGGTTAGGGTTAGGGTTACGGCTGTCAAAAATAGCGTGTTAATCTATGCGATTAATGTGGCCAAGATTAATGAGTTAAAATATTTGAATGTGATTCACGCAACTTCGGTGTGCTTAACAAAGTAAAACAAACAGAGGTGCGACATAAAGAAACAGACAGGGAATGAGAAGCAAACGGACCACTTTGTTCACTGCTTGGCTACATCCATCTCAACATCTACCCTGCACGGGACCATTGCTGCCCTAAAAGACAGTGGTTTGCAAAACGTCCTGGCTAAATGTCGGGAGATTGTTGGCACGTCAAACACAGCCGTCAAATGATGGAGAGTTGAGGACAGCAGCAAGAGTCTCTAGTTCAACATGTTCCATCTGTTGGAATTCTGCCTTGGAGATAATATATTGTCTACTTTTTTGTTTGAAATAAAATGAACAATTAAACAACAGTGTCTAAAATACAGGCTTTACAAAATTATTACTCATTACACCTAACAAACTTGCAATTGCGATGAACGAATTACAAATGTGCCATTAATTAGTTAATTTTTAAAAAATCAATGTAAAAAGTATTACAGCAGCTATCACAAATTGCAAATGTTAGGGACTGACCTGTGCATGCATTGACATTTGGAATTCAATATGAAAAGACGCTGATATTATATCTGACTATGTGACCAATGATCATGAAGGAGATTGTGATCCTTTGAAAAGTACCTCAAGTGAATTTACGCAGACCTAAGGGATACCATTTGATGGACACACTGCACCTCCAGGCATGCATTAGTTTGTTGTTTGTTAGTTTTATTTCTCCGTAAACATGGTCAGATAAACGTATCAGCGGCAAGTTACTGGTACCTTCGGCTCTTCCAGTCCCCTACCCCGGAGCGCTCGTAGCTCTCTTTTATTTACTTGTGTTGATGCATAACTGATGGTTAACCTAATCTGTTGTGAGTGTTTCAGGTGCATTTCGGATCAAAGATATGTTCTGGTCGAAAGCAAGTCAAAATCTCTCTCGTCCACTTCATCATATGACAACGCCGGTCCAGAGTTGATCTTATCTGTTGGATGGATGACTCATCTTGCTCAGCACCCTCTGTTTCTCTCTGAGAAATTCCTCTGAATCCATTCTTACCTGACTCCTAATAGGTTCAAGTGGTTCTGCTGGTTGTGTGGTGATGGCTGTCCAGCTACTTTCATCCTCTGAACTATTTAGTTAGTCCTGTTTTTTGACTTGCTAGGCTTTACTACATATACACAACTGTCTTTCTGTTTTCTCTTGGTCGTCACATAGATTTTCTCTTTCCAACACAACTTGGTCTCTACTACTACTATTCTACACCTTGGCTGTAGCCCCACTCCATAAGCCTTTTGGTCATACTACTTAGCTCTATTTTTCTCCCTTTGGACTGTCTATGAGGCTAGCTTGTTTGCCTCCTGCATCCACCTTCTCCACTTACTTGCATATTCACTGTGAGAAGCGCTCTGACCAGCTGGTTTCAGGTCAAACATCATGTCCGAAGTACGAACTCTGGGGTTCCTACCATAGGCATGGTAGTACGGAGCATATCCTGTTCCCTCACCCAGGTATAGTTACACGCATGCTGCTTCTTCTTCTGTTCGATTACACCTCTCCATCTGACCATTTCTAGCCTGCTGGTAAGGTGTTGTGTGTGAACCTTGGATGACACAGTACTCTTTAAGCTTGGAAAACTGTTTATTCTTAAATACATCCTGACCAGCCCTCACTTCGCGCTTCCATTTTTTACAAAGTACTTCCAGTAATCTGCCTTTTTTTGTACATGTTTATTAATTTAACTATGTTGTTTTTGCCATGTGTTTGTCATAGAGTATTGTGTCTGTGCTGTTTGTGTCACTTGTGTGGACTGTGCTACTGCCTCTTGGCCAGGTCATCCTTGTAAATGAGAATTGGTTCTCAATGGATTTTACCTGGTTAAATAAAGGTCAAATAAAATAAAAAAAAACATCAAGGATACCATCTTTGCTGACATACAGATGGTTTCTCCCTCACTGGAGCACATATGTCATTAAGCCCATAATGCATTACATTTAATTTAGCTGACACTTTTATCCTAAGCGACTTACAATAAGAGCACTCACCCAAGAGGGTATAGACCCAGAACAACAAGAATGAAGTGTAATTTATTCAAGAAAGCGTTGTAAGTAAGTGCCATATTAAGTGCTACTTCAGGTGCTCCCTAGTCAAAGTATAGTCGGTAGAACTGGGATTTTAGTGTGAATCGGAAGATAGACTTTCTGCTGCAGTGGGGACCAATTGGCAGATGCAGAGCAGAGTGCAATGAATTGTTTGATGATCTAACATACGTTGGATTTTTCAAAACCAAAAGCCCTCTCTTGGCACAAGTTGTGTTGGTGCATCTCTGATCTGGTTCCTCTTGCATCGCTCTTTTCCTCGTTTTAATGTATCGACAGAGTTACTTGTGTGTTATTTACCATGACTCAATCTCCATGGAGTCATGGTAAATAACACACACAGTCATCGAAGCTAGACAACTAGCTCTGATGACTGCGCTCTCCGTGGTGAGGTTTATAAAGTAACAACCACTGCCGGCCAAAGAGCGACATCGGTTGATACGGCGATACACCGGTATACGGTGTCACGGTGTGGTTCACTTCCTGTCTTATTTTGTAGTTTTCTGCCCCTCGTGTCCCCGGGTAACTTCACTTCCTGCCTTGTCCCGTCATCCCCTGTGATCGTCTAATAGTTTCCACCTGTGTCCAATCACCTGCACCTCCCTTGTGTATTTAAGCCGTGTGTCTCCTGTGTCACTTGTCGCGTCATTGTCTTTTGCCACGCATGTCCTTGTCTTTCGTCACACATGTTGCCTGCGGTTTTTCCTCCCGGTTCCTGTGTTTTTTGACCTTTGACTATCAAAGTCCTTTGTGTTTCCCGACAACTCTGCGTTTGAGTCCTGCCTCCCACCCGCATCCGTGACATACGGTGTGTGGAAAAAAAAAGGTGTAACCGGTAGAGGGGTTGCAACGTTATACCTACCAGCCCTACTTATGTCCCTACCGGTATGTCTAAACTTTGGGGCCCCACACAATCTATTCATTTTATTGTCAGAATTATAACTTAATATCCACTATGTGTGTGTGTGTGTGATGTGTGTCTCTGTGTCTGACCTCCAGCCATCCCGTTGCAGGTAGCTGAAGGCGCCGTCGATGAGGCTGGCAGTGAACTGTCCACCGGTGATGAAGAGGGTGTTAACCGTTACCAGCTGACCCCTTAGGTGGGGCGGAGATGCCTCAGCAATGTACACAGGCACTGTCATAGACGCAATACCTACACACAAAGAGAGAGACAGAGAGAGAGACAGAGATAAGGGTAATGTTAAGCAGGAGATCCTTCTGAGCAAGTGACTCAGATTGTGCCTTTTATAGTAAATGTTCCTTGTTCTCAAAGTAAAGGCTGGCTTTCATGAAAATGAACTATTTCCGTGACATAAATGACATATATACCAACTATTATAACAGATTGGGGCCAGTTTACGGCCATGACTATGAGATTAACATACGCTGAAATTCATTAATTCATTCATTAATCAACTGACTGTAACAAAATCTAAAATAAAATATAGGATAAAAAGAAATATTAACTCTTTCCACCCACAAAATCATCACAAATTTACCAATACAGCCACACTATGGGCTCTGTGGTATTGCACTTCAGCTCCACGATGCTCTCAACGACAAAGTTAAGATGTTTAGCAAGTATGTTTACCATGCAAAAAAATAATTTTGTGTGCTACCGTGCTATATATATGCTAACAATTACTAATTTGCATTAAACACAAAGCACAAGGGAGGATTGTGGGAATGTCATTTGTTTAGCAAGAATTTTATTACAAACCAAATTGACAAAATGGTGCCATAAATAAAAGTATGTCAGTTGAGAAAGCGATAACTGTAAACCCATTTTAAATTGTCATATTAATGCTTTACAGTTTTTACATTTCATCTTCATTATAAATAATAAAATTCACCAATTGATCACACATTTTGAAATGCATTTATCGCGATTAAAAGTTGTTTCTTCTTCTAAAGACTAGATCTTACAAGTAAGTATTAATCACTTAAGAAAGCCTGTATTTTAGACACTGTTGTTTATTGTATCTTTTTAAACACAAAACTACACATATTTCATCATCTCCAAAGCGAAACTCCACCGGGTGGAACGTCTTGAACTAGCGACTCACGCTGTCCTTGTGAACTTTCCATAATTTGACGGCTGTGTTTGAATTGCCAACAATCTGCGGACATTTAGCCAGGACAATTTCCCACCGTCTTTTTGGGCAGCAGTGGTGGTCATCTGCAGACTGTGTGCTGAGCAGGGTAACGTTAGATGTTGAAATGGAAGTAGCCTAGCACCTAGCTCAGCCTAGCAGTGCCTAAAGTGGTCTTTTTGCCACTCATCCCTCTTCTGTTTGACACGTTGAGAATTTCCTCTGCACAGTTCTCCGCTGTATGTCGCGCTTCTGTTTCTTTTACTTTGCAAAAATCTCTTTCCATCTTCAACTACCGTCTTGGTCTCGCCGATCTAACTGACTGCAGCACGCGGCAGTTTCGTTCCTGGGTCAACGCACACCGGAAGTAAAAGAAGTTGAGTTAACTGCGTTAATATATTTAATCTCGGCCACAGTAATAGCATAGATTAATGTGTTTATATTGACGGCCCTATTATGAATTACAACTTTTTCAATAATCTCTATTGTCTGTAATAATTTACTTATTTTAAATGACTGTGACTTTTGACCATGACAACAATAACAACAGCAATGGAGTCAATGTATACATGAGGTTTACCCAAGGATCTTGGTAATGGCCGCTGCGCTATGATCTGGAATACATCCTTTCGCAATTACTCTCACACACATACACACACATTACTCAAATAGAACAAAACAAACGGTATGTTTTCCTCCGATATATCTGACAGGGGGCCAGGAGACCATGGCTTTTCTGAAGCGGGCTCCCAATAACTCTTATTATATGTTTGCCATGGTTGGCCCCCCCCCCCCCCCCCCCGCCTCACCTCCAGCTTCATCCCCTCCCTTCCCTACTGCCACTACCGTGCCCTAAAAGGCCGCCATGACTACCTGTTGCTATGGCAACCACATGCTGGGTACCAGCCTCTGAGCGAGCACCACACTGTGGCAGCTCACAGAAAGGAAATCTATAATTGAGAAGGATTTTTTTTTCTTTCTTTTTTTCTGCAATACCTCCACCGAAGATTTTGATTTGAGATGGTAAAACACCATTATCAACATATCAAAGCACAGTTAAATCTCTTTAACGCGTTCACATGACATACAATACACACGACATGCATACAATTTTCCCACTGTTTACTATTCATAAAGTTTATCTTGGAGTTTATCTTGTTATGGCTTGAAAAAAATGATTGTCATCAAGGGGTGGAAATCTCAGATCCAGATCACCACTGAAATCGAATAAACCGCTCTTTGGCATGATGCCAGTTTGCTCAGGCTAATTGGATGGAAATCCATTAAGAAGCTTTTAAGAGGGTTAGGCTGCTAAAAAACAGACACGATAAATACAACTAACCTCCATGTTTTAGGTGACAATACAATACTAATTCCAGTAGTAAATGCAGTGTTTATTCATGTAGCCAGTGGCTCATTACAACATGGATCATGATCAGCCCTTCTACAAATACAACCTCCTGTTAACACATAACTGAAATTCCCCACCATATTTTAGATTTTATGCCAAACATTCTGATGGTGTCATGTCTGCGCTGTTGGTTTGCACACTTAGATGACATTAGACAGATATTTGCACCCACCCATGGGCATATATACCCATTTTAACAAACAGGTCCTAAAGTCCTCGTCTGCTGTAATGCCATGCCTCTTCGTCATCCCTCTTGCTAGTTTCCCCCCATATTCCTGTGTTATACATCTCGGCCATATAAAACACCAGTTTATCTCAGCTCAAGCCAAGGTTTCTGCCACACGCAGCCCATTTCACTATGAGTGAGATGCTACAGCTGATGTTGATGTATTTACTGAGGAATGGATCATTTCCATTTGACATGGTGCTGAAGGTGGTCTAAAGAAAATATGCCAGGGCACATTAAAGCTACCATTACAGGCCAGTAAAAAGGTCAAATACTGGACAATTTATTGAACGTCTGAAAATAAGTTTGTTTGTTTTTTTGGCTGAGTTTGATCTTGAACTGACTTTTAGAATGCAGATTATATTCATATTAAAGCTGCTAATACTATAATCGTAGTTATGGGTTCTGTGTTGTATATATGTGCAAATATATATATATATTTATTGCTACTTGATTTACTTCCACAAGCCCTGCAAAGTGTTACATGAATTGGAACAAAAACGTAGGTTGACTATTCTGTAAACAATTTTATTTGGCTGGCAAAGCACATACTCACAAGTATTTTTAAGACCTCCTCCCTCTAAAGCAGAAAAGAACTAATTGGTTTGTTCAATTGCTTCTTTCAATAGTCCTCTGACAGGTTGATAATGGTTTTATTAGTGAACTATTTGTGTCAATCTACCACGCATGAAAATTTGGAAACGGAGTTACTCGCTATCCACCTGCTCATTACGTGATTACACCATTTACACCAGCTTCACTACGTCAGGTATGAACTTTGCTTTAGCCAGGTTATGCTGGTTGCACCAGAATACACTGTTTAGGCGAATAATCCCTACACCAGGGCTAACGAGTACAACCTATGCTAAAAACAAATTAATTTGGCTGCTGTATGTTTTTATCTTCGCTGGAGAAATGCTTAAGAGAAATGTTTGAATGGTTTTAAATAAACACATTTTTGTAAAGTATATTTGGAAAGCTTCTCAAGTATTCATATCCCTCTGTAGTTATCCACAGAAGCTAAAGCTCCACAGAAAACAAGCAAGATGACGACCTGAAGGTCAGGTTACTTCACTTGGTAGAATCTCTTACAAACGACGCATTTGCAGTGTGTTCCCTTCTTTGTTAATGAGCTCTCTTTCAGCACCAGCAGACAGCTCTCAGCACTCCCTTCTCTACACAGACACACACAAACCCTTCACACACCCTCATGAATTCATCGTCAGGCCACGCTTAGCCTCAAAGCAGCACAGCCAAGTTAAACAAAGAATCTGCCTGGTCTTGTGAGGGCAGTTCTGTGGGGGCGTACAAACGTTGGGCACAATTTACTTGAAACTCCACCTCAGATAACGGTGTTGTAGACTTTCAAATGGGTAAGAGGTGTGAGTGTCGATTGAATTCAATGGCAAAGGCCTTCACGGTTGTTTCCTTTGTTAATTTAATTCAAAAAGCGTACCTAATTCGACACTGGACTTGAAAAGGAATTTTTTATTATAAAACTTCACTTTAAATAGTAGTCACACTGCGTTCTTGTAAAACCATATGGGGGAGAAAATAAACCCAAAATGCACAAACGTCAAGGGAAAAATAAACTAATTTCACACAGTACAACAATTCTTCATAGAGCAACAATAATGTGTATTTATGAAATTAAGTATATACTTATCTTCCAATTGGAATTGGATAGAATTATGAATATATTTATGTAAACCAACCAATTAGCTAACACAATCTCATTAACTGCGTCAGTTTCATACAGACCCTTCATCTGCTGTCTCCAAGGAGTGGAAATTCACAACTGATTATTTAGCCAGAAAATATATATACTCAACTGTCCTTGAGAATACCATTAAACTCCCGACATAAATGGTAATAATGCAGAGCAAACCTGCCAGTATTCTATTGCTGGATTTTACAAGTATCCTTCAATATCAACAAAACCTCTCAATTTGATGGAATAGACAAGGATTTAATACATAACTTTGTAACATAGCATTGTCAAACTATCTGGGTCAATGCTCTTGGTTCTCTCAGACCAGGAACAGCTCGTATCAAAAAACAGTCCCTGTGCTCAGGCAAAGGTCAGATCAACAACAACCATCTAGGGACAGATGAATGAGACAGACGCTTATGGGTAGACATACAGACAGGAAGGGCATGGCAGTGTCCTGAATGGACGAACAACTCCATTACCTTTATGAAAAGTTCAGTAATGTTAAACAACAGACTTTTGGGAAAAGAGGAGACATTGTTAGTGGAGGAGTGGAGGCAACGGGCTGTGAGAAAATAGTTGCATATAAGGAAAAATGACGCCTCTCCAGCAGCTAATTGTTGTGCCAGGATGTGTTTCATTGTCTATTAAGTTTGGCTCGTGGAAAAGATTGTGATGGCAAAAGAGGAGGGGTTACTTCTAATACCCCAGCCGAAATGACCCGGGAGATTGGTTTGTCCATATTAACAGTCAGAGATTGTGAATGTGTATTAAGTGTGTAGCTGCTGCATTTTCAAACTTCCTATCACTTTGGGAAAAGACCATTTTTTCAACGTGATCTCCAAAACCTGTTCGTAAAAAAGTATACGAAAATCTTGAACATACAAATTTGTAACAATACATACTTATTATGGATCCCTCGGGGTCTGAAATAAATAAATAAATTAACATACGAACTGGTGTGTTTACGGGGTGCAGGTCCCCATTCACTTTGAACAGGGTGACGTCATCAGTTGCAGTCCGTATTTACTTTGTATGTATCACTACGAATTTGTATGTTCAAGATTTTCGTATACATTTTTACGAACAGGTTTTGGAGATCAGGCTGCATTTTTTATATTTAAGTCTCAAATTAATTAGTTCTCTTCATCACATGTAATTACAGGTGGTTATAAACAAAACCCAACAATAGATTGATTATCACTATCACCATCTATTGTTTGTGATGAGTTTGCAGTGCATGACAATTATTGGTTGGTTGGCAAAACAACCAACGTTTGTCTGTAAATCTAGTGGTTAGTTTTCTTTTTCGAAAAAAGACTGAAAGATCTTGATGAGTTTTTCTATTTTTTCATTCACTCTCAATATGGGGATGGCTTTACACAGCAAATAGTCGTTTGCTGCAACATTAATGCTTCCAATATAAAAGGTAGCATCTTTAAATATGTATGAAAGTCATGGTTACGATATAATAAATGTTCATCTACATAGCAACAGGTATGAAAATATTATATAAAATATAAGAGTGAAAGGAAAACCTTTTAGTTACAGTGTATCTGAAGATATTTACAGACAAGGCTCTTTAATGTCTGATTTGATTGGTTCTTGTCAAACAAAAAAAGCATTTTCCACACACTCGTAAGCTACCCGTGCTATTTCCATCACAGGAAACATCAAGCTTAAATTTAGTTTTAGCAGTGTCATTAGTTGTCTTTTCATTGCACCGGAGTTGAGTGTGGTCATTTTGCCATTTGAAGTCTGAAATAAGTTTGTAGCGGTGACTGTTGTAGTCAGCGATGTTTATTAAAAAACTAAGCCTCCTCTCCTTTCCCAGTGGTTGACTGAAGAGAAAAGATTGTCTGCAATTTCTGCACGTATCACTGAGTAGTTCTTATGACTCTTCTGAGGAGGAGCGTGCAAGTACCATCGCCGTGGTGCTCGGCCTGGAAAGACAGTCTCAATGTTTTTTTTTTTAAAAATGCTATCCCACGAGAAACAGCAACGACTGTGAAAAATGTGGGGTACATTTTGTTCTGATCAAAAGGCGTGCTACATGCAAAAGCATGCAGAGACCACAAGGATGTGGCTAATCAGATGAATGTATCTTTGACATCAGTGTGTGATGAAGACAATCTCATTCACCCCAAAAGTCGTGCATAGAGTTTTTCCTTGGTTTTCTTTGTGGGAATGTTCTTCCTAATTCAGAACGTTTTCCTAATTCACTATAGCACCCAACTAAATCCTAACAATAATAATATTGAGGTCAGCAAGTTGTCGGTGGCAAAGCATGCAGCCCGAGCAGGCAGAGGGGCTACGATGTGTAATTAGAAGCTGTGTGTGATTGCAAACATAAAACCCGAGGAGGCAAAAAGAAGACTGAGGAACCAAAACATCTAAACAATTAGATGTGGGGACATAGTAGGCTGAAAAGTTATGTGTAGGACTAAACATTGTCTTTCGGATCCAAGTTTAAATTACCTTTAACTCCTAAACAAGCATCTGGTTTTAAGACTGACTGAACCGACGAAGAAAGAACGTGTTGAACACATGCCTTACCAAGCCCCACACCAACGATGAGCCTCCCCGCCAGGAGCACCTCCTTGCCAGGGGCGGTGCTCAGCACGACCCCCCCGATTGCGAAGAAGAAGCTGGCCAGCAGTATGCACACCCTGCGCCCAAAGAGCCCGTTGAGGAAGCCCCCCAGCAGGGCGGACAGGGCGGCCGCGGCCACAGTACTTGATATGAGCACCTCCTGCCACAGGGCGCTCAGGTCCAGCTCCCTCTTCAGCAGGAGCATCGCTCCGGAGATCACCCCGGTGTCGTAGCCGAACAAGAACCCCCCGAGGGCGGAGAACGCGGCCAGGACGTAGACAAAGCCGGGAGTGACATCCTGCTGGAACTGCTTGCGCGCAGCCCTCTCCAGTTCCCCGGTGGAGGACGGGGGTGCCGCCGGCGCACCGGCGGCGGAAGCCCCGGCGAAGGCGCCCTGGCTGGTGATGCTGGCGCTGGACGGAGCCCTGATGAGGCTCCGCTCTCCTCCGTCGCTCACTTTCTTCCTGCGCTCGCCCATGAGGTTGCTCATACTACGGAGATTGTAGTCATGGTCGACCTGCTTGCGCGACATATGGGAAAACACAACACAGGACGATGCTGCTTAGATGTATTTGATGCTGCAAAATGTATATATATAAGCAAACAAAAACACAGTTTAGTAACTGACCCACCCCCCACCCCCCTCGGGTTTGAGTCACTCTCGCGTTAGCTCGTCACAATCACTCCCAGAATACAAAGTGTGTATCAGTGCATCACGTCCTGTGGTCCTGATGGGAGAGTTGCAGAAGAGTGGGGAGGAAAGGTAAGAAAGGAGGAGTGTAGTGGAGCAGTTCGTCACCACTAGCGTCGGCATGACGCAGAGGAATACTGTTGTGGAAGCATGATGCTTTAGTGAAGCGTTCGTGGTGAGGATTTATTCTGCTAAAAATCAATTTAATCGCAGAAATTATACAGATTACTGAAAATAGTACACAATACAGCCAGTTGATGCACATTGTTTGGTAATCTAAGTAGAGTTGAGTAGGTACAGTACAAAATAAAAAGGCTGAGGCTAATTATAAATTGATATATACAAACAACATACAAAATAAAATATACAAAACAACATACTAATGAAATTACAGGTAGGGAATATGAAGTGTATATTCTAGACAATGAAACACATTTCACATTGGCTTCAGTCACCATCAATTGACCAAAAAGCTGCTACCTCCTGCATAACATGAAAACAGCTGCCCCCCTCAGGTCTGACTCTGGTAATACAGGTCCATGATTCTGTAGGTAGACGTCAGTCAACGCAAACACACAGTCAGGAAGGGGCCATGACACACACTGACAGACCCAAGACCAGAACAATTGTTTAAAACATTGCTTAAAAAATGTATGGAATTTATTGATATCAAAATAGCTCCCTAAGCCCAAGCTCATGTCTTAACATTGTTTGTTTTGTCAAACTCTTTGGTAACACAGCGTAATTTGAGTGAACATGCAGCATGGCCGCCACGTGGAGAAATTACAATGGAGAATCATCACAGAGTGATAATGGTTCATGACTGAGCCCAGTACAGAAGGTGTGTAAGAGTGGGACATGCTGGTATGCATAATTGTGTACATGGTGTCCTGGTGAAAACAAGGTGGCTTCTTCTCAAAAAATGAACCTTAATAATCCAGTTAAAAACTTTAATCCAACTGAAATGAATCAATTCCAGGGACAGTACACTCGGTGCTAAATGACAAATTTGTGTTTCTTTGGAAAAGTAGAAACAGGCTGAACTGTTTTTAAGTAAATGATCAAATATTTTGTAAATGTTGTACTGACAGAACTTTCTGTACTTCACGATAAGTTATAACAAGTAGTTATACCTTATTCTGTTTAAAGGTCAGGTGAGCACAATGGTTTATTTTTCCATTCCATCATATCACTGGTGTATATATCAATCAAATCTCACATTTTTAATCATATGAATTAACGGGTTATCACTTTAGAAAGCGTGTAATAAAATCTGCATCGCATAGGTTAGGCTCTGGCTAGCTTGGTATTTAGGGCTCCAATGGACAAGGGGACAAAGGACTTTTTAAAGCGGTTAACCTGCACTCAGCGTCTCCCTGAGGAAAAAAGCTGGTATTCAAGGTGGAGGAAATGTGTGGGGTCTGAAATAATCTTCTGGGCCTGTCTGATGATGGTTTCATCAAAGACAACCTGCAGTGTTGGATGCTGTCTGACCCCCATGATTATCATGGGTCTTTGTGTTAGCCGGGTCGTCTTGGCTTTCAGCTTCACACCGAGGTTACTAAACAGGATGCTCTCAACTATTGCGTGGTTGAAGAGGAGCATCACTTTCTGGTTGACACCAAAGACCCTTAGCATACAAAAAAAAGTGTAGCCGCTGTTGGACCCTAGAACATTTACTACATGAACACAGCATGTCGACAGGTTTGTATAACCCAGGTATCTGTCAGAGTCAACCCGTAATATATTCTGCTTATGGATAACCACTGGTGAGTGGTCTCCGATGGATTTGGGGTTGAATACCATCTCTTCTGTTTTTTTGACATTCAGGATGAGGAAGTGTTTGTTGCACCACTCGACAAAGTCGAGAATCTCGCTGTACATACAGCTGTATCTGATACATCAGACATGACAGCCAGAATGGCTGTATCATCAGGAAACGTTACCATGTAATTGTTACCAGTACTGCATACTGACACACTCCTGGGGGGCGTTGGTGTTGATGGTATAAGGATTCAGACAAGGTCTTGTTCACTCTGACCTGCTCAGTACAGTTGGTGAGGAATATGTGATACTACTCATCTGCAAGGCAGAAATCCACCGGCTGGAACCTGCTGTCTTTGTGCAGTTTGCTGTGCTCTCAACTCTCTATAAATTGACGGCTGTGTTTGAAGAGCCCACAATCTCCCTCCATTTAGCCAGGACGTTTTCCAAATCACTGTCTTTTAGGGACATAGTGGTTGTCCTCTGCAGACTGTGTGCTGCGCAGGGTAGATGTTGAGATGGAAGGAGCCTTGCAGCTACCAACATGTTCCGGGCACTATCAGTCCTAAAGTGGTCCGTTTGCCACTGTTCCCCCCTCTTTTTGACACTTTAAGGAATTCCTCTGCAGATTTATCCGCTGTATGTCGCACCTTTTTGCACCACCTTTGTTTTAATTGTTTTACCAATTGCAAAATCTGTCTCCACCTTCAACTACCGTCTCGGTCTCTCCGATCTAACTGACTGCAGGCACACAGTGGTTTCATGTCAGTGGTCAATGCAAACTGGAAGTGAACAAAATTGCCTTTACTGCGCTGAATTATTTTATCGCATTAATCTCTGCCACATTAATCGCATAGATTAACAAGTTAACTGAGATAGTTATCTACATATATAAGTATAGACATGCATTGATGAATATGCATATGCATTCAAGTTATTCCGTAGTAGTTTGCAACAACTTCAAATAAATACTATACAACTATATAAACTTGCAGGACATTTGGCAGCGGGATCGTCCAGCCTTTTAAGGGGGAGAGTTACTATGTTCGGTCCGACTGCCCGTTCAAACTCACAAGCTTCAACGTCAACCGGGGGGAATATTCTGTCACCATATGGCGAGGTCACAACGGGCTGTTGGTCCAAGTCGAGATCATCGTCAACAAAGTCACAACACTTTTGCAGAATGGCCACATCCTAGTGCAGAACAACAGGTTTGAGCCCAAGCAGAAAACTGCAGCCTCACTGAACAACAAATAATGAGTAATGCGAAAAAGTCAATTTAAAAATTCATCACATGACTGTTCAACTTCAAATACTTATCTAACATTATAATTCAGTCTGACCTTGAATCAACACCAAAGTTACTGCAGTTACATTTATATAGTTGTATAGTATTTATAACATCCACACATGCTAAATAGGAACTTAAATTCACAGGCGTTGAATCAGATCTCGGCTTAGAAGATCAGAAGAAGGCTTAGAAGATGTAGATCAACGCAACCTACCGATGCGTTGAAAGCAAAGAAGCATTTTAATTAAATTTGCCGCTCCAAGTATAATCTTTGCATGGAAATACAACAGAGTAGCTGCAGAGCACGTCTTTAAACATGACGTGGAACTGTCCCTGAATTCTCAATGTTGTCATTGATTTGTCTCTCTTAACAGGAAAAGCATTGTCTGGTTCATCAAACCAGAAAAGAGCTTCCCCTCTTTTTACAAAATGCCCTTTATATTTTACCCATTATGTGTGGTGGGTGACTCAAATATTTACAGGTTGTTCTTATTTCTGGCAGATCACATTGTGTTTTAAATGAATATGTTAAGTTCAATGTTTAATTTGATTTTCTTTCTACTTCCAGTTTCCTAGTATATTGTGTGAATGAGTACGGGCGAGGCGGTGCCATTTCTTTTAGGATTAACACTGCATATATAAGCCATGTGGTGGGTTGTTTCTTTCAACTGCTCTCGTGCAGCATCAGGCAGCATGACAACCCAGCGATGGATTCTGGCATTCTGCCTTTCACTGGCCTCAGGTATTTCCACCGCAAAATGATGAAGATGCAATATTTAAACTCTTGCCATTTTGAAAATGATTTGTCTTTTTTTGTGATGTTTTCACAAGATGAGTAGGTAGAAGAAAGATGTATAATTTTTGCAGCTTAATATTTCAATCTCATGCTACCTTATATCTATACTATACTATAAAGTTTTGTTAGCTTCCGCGATTAGTTCCATGTCGAAGTGTCCCTGAGCAAGACACCTAACCCCTAATTGCTCCCCAGGCAAAAATGTGAAAAGCCATGGATTTAAAGTGTAATGTAAGTCGCTTTGGATAAAAGCGTCTGCTAAATGACCTGTAATGTAATGTAATGTAGTTACCATACCAATCAAAAATACGAACACAAAACATATCCTAAACATAAATAGAATAAGATGCACTGTTGAAGAATGAATAGTTGACACTGACAAAAGCAATTCCTTCCAATTATCAACATATAAACCTTCGGTACTTTAAAATAGAGGTAGCTGCAATTTGTTGTCTCTGCTTACACGTATGAATACTTTATCTGGTATAACAAGTATTTTCTTTTCAATCCATACATTTCCCTCATAATTCATGTTTACTTGCACCCTGACACTGTTTTTTTCTTCTAGTTTTTGGCACAGTGGAATTGTTCAAGACCAAAGAAATTCAGACATGTGAGTAAAAAACGGATCAATATGTGATATTCATCAGTTCACTACCCAGATTACTTTTTTGAAATGATTGTATATGTTGTAGGTACTAGCTACACTGTTTCAGGTTTTTTAAACACATGCTGTTTCATTGTTTGGATGTTGCATTTCTCTCATTTATTGTCTTACTGTTCCTTTTGTGATCACAATTTTGCAAGTTGCTTTTTGCAAAACAAACCAAACAAACAAAATCCACTGACACTCACAATGTGTAGGATTCTGTACATGGTAGATAAACATAATTTAGACGTGAATTTAGACGTGAGTTGAGCATTTGGCTTATTGAGTTGAAAAGACACTCTAAAAAATCGTATTTTTCATTCAATGATTGTATTCCTTAGACTGAGTAAGGAAAATCGAGTACACTTTAACCCAAACATTTAAATCTAAAGTCATTTCATTTACATATTTCTTAATTTCTGACCTCACATTTCTCCTTATTGTTCAACCTTAATTGTTGAATTGTGATCAGACACTTGCAGGACATTTGGCAGCGGGATCGTCCAGCCTTTTAAGGGGGAGAGTTACTATGTTCGGTCCGACTGCCCGTTCAAACTCACAAGCTTCAACGTCAACCGGGGGGAATATTCTGTCACCATACGGCGAGGTCACAACGGGCTGTTGGTCCAAGTCGAGATCATCGTCAACAAAGTCACAACACTTTTGCAGAATGGCCACATCCTAGTGCAGAACAACAGGTTTGAGCCCAAGCAGAAAACTGCAGCCTCACTGAACAACAAATAATGAGTAATGCGAAAAAGTCAATTTAAAAATTCATCACATGACTGTTCTTCCAAAACAGACAACTATTTTAATTAAATGGACATTCACAACACTTTAAAAAAAATGTTCACCTGCCTAATGCCACCAATCCCAGGTGATTATTTGCTTTGAGTCAGGGACATTGTATTATCAGTGTTTTGTGAAATTAAAACGTACTGAGTTAACATACTGAGTCAAGATGTTACCGAGTTATCACATAGGGACTTATTTCCGGGAGGTGGAAACTGTAATAGTTCACCCATTCTGTCTTTAATTAAAAACAAACACCTGTTTTATGTCAAGTGGTGATCGTAATTGGTCAAAAGAATTTATTTGTTGATAAAATCCATTTTCTCTGTATTTGTATTGTTTTCCGATGGTCCATTAATTGGTACATTTATTGAAATATTGGATAACTTACTCCACTCCTCTTTGTCTTGATAGTGTTTCACTTCCATACGACCACACCTACCAGCATATCTTTAAATACGGCATCTACACTAGACTGAGGAGCTCGCTGCTTCCTTTTACTGTCACCTGGCACAATGTACATGGGGGAATAAACTCTCTGTGGGTAAGTTGACGTTATACAGTCGGCTCAACACACTTTTAAGAGCAAAATTACAGTAAGACAAATGCATGCAGGCAAAATCAATGTCTCATGTTAATTGGAACATACAACACTAACCTCACTCACTGAAGCCCATGTGTTTAAACTTGTTATTAAGGTGACACTGGAGTCGGAGCTGTGCACCGACATGTGTGGACTGTGTGGAAAACAAAACGTTGCAGGTATTATTAACTGACTGGAAGTGAGACATTGATTGTTGTAATATAGTAGTAACATTGACAGCAGTATTTTTAGTAGCAACTGCAATCATTTCTTTTGGTGGTAGTGAAAGTGGTACAAATAGTGATTTAAATAGCCAAAACAATTGTTTGCATCCAGTTTGGTTTAACAAAGTACATTTTTCTTGACATCAGGCCACAGGGACGAGTTGATCAGAGAAAGCAAGCTTCACGACCACAGATGTAAAATCAGAGATCCTGTGTTGCAAAAAAATCACGTGAGTTAACAGATCTAATGATTAACTCATTTCGACAAGCAAAATAGAACACAATAGAATACATGGACATATTAGGAAGCATCTCCATTCTCTTCTCTTCTTTTCTACATCATTGGGGGAGGGTTGATTTTATGAGACTGAGAGACTCACAAAATAAGTGAACAATTATGTGTCCTAGTTCCAGATATTAAAGTGGTTTCCCTGATTATATCTACAGATATGCCGTCGATTCTTTTTGAAAACCAAGAACTGTCTGCAAGACAACAATTCTCACTATCACCGACTCTGTAAAGAGAACATTTGTGGCTTTGAAAACAGCCAGAGCATCTTCTGTCCTTTCTTCCAAGAAGTTGCAAGCCAGTGTAACCAATCAAGAATCAACCGATTTTGGAGACGTTTAACCAGATGTGGTAGGCACTCTTCAAAAACAAAATGAAAAAAAATCTTATGGACTCATTGGAGAAGAACACATGATGTTATTTTCTGTGGTTTAATGCAGCGAAGCCGAGGTGTCCAGGAGACCTGATTTATGAGAAAAAAGGTCCAGCATTTATTCCCAGCTGCTCCAACCCGAACCCTGCACCCTTCTACCAGGAACTCACTGAAACCTGTGCCTGTCCAAACGGTGAAAGAGCACGATCTGTCTTTATGATGTAGCTCTTTAAAAGTGTCATAGCTTGTTTAGCCTCAATGAGCCTAATAACATGGTGTTATTTGTATTTTAGGTAAAGTTTTGAATAATTGTGAAAAGGGCTATCGCTGTATACCTAAATCCAGCTGCTCCTGTGAGTTCGCTGGCAAGACCTACGGAAACGGAGAAATACGGAGTTCCAGGTGTCAGTCATGGTAATATACTTCAAACTTCATTTCAGACTCACAAGATGGTTCCCAGCAAAAAAATGGGCATACAAACTGTTTCCTTACCTCTTTATAAGTTAATAACATGAACTATTCTTAAGTTTTTAATTCGGTTTTATCTTCACACAGTACGTGTGATGGTGGGAAATGGCGATGCTCAGAGAACTTTTGCCACAGAAGATGTGTCATTGAAGGCCAGTTTGTGACAACATTCGATGGAAAACAATATGTCCTCCCTAACAAATGTTTATATGTGGCTTCAAAGGTAATTCTTTTCAATTCCCTAACATGTAACATTACAGATGTATTCTATTTATGATACTAACTAGTCTTTTACTTTAAAGGGTCCCAACTGGATAATAATAATAGAGTTTTCACAAAAAAAACTCCACATTAGAAAGGTTACGGTTCAGCTCATGGAGGTACAAGCAGTCTTTGAGGAATTAATTTAATATAAAACATTCTTTCAAACACATGTAATGCAACAATAGTGTGCTATAATGGAATGTAAACATCTTTTTTTTGCAGGAACTGTTTGTATTCAAAAAGAACAAGGTTTTGTTTGATGGACAGGAGATCCCTGAATTCCATTTTTCTGGTAAAGAAAATTAGAAGGATATGTAGTTAATTACGTTAATTGTCTGGATTTTATTTCAAATGTGTAGTACGTCTAGTTGCCTAACAATCCATTCATCATTCAGCATTTACCCCGCCACCCATTCATTTACTGAGTTCTCTCCTGTAGGTCATGCTCAGGTTTACTGGGTGTCCTCCATGTTCGTCCAGGTCCACACGACCATTGGTATAAACTTCCAAATTCAGCTCTCCCCTGAAATCCATCTGTTCATTGACGCACCTGACACCTCCAATGACAAGATTAAAGGTGCGGACCACAGTCTACAGACAGGCCAAAATGTATTCACTTGTATTCACTTCCATTATGTCTTTTTTTAAATTAACTCTCAAGAAGAAAAAGAAAATCAATAGGAAGTACATCATTTTTTCTGCGGCATGATCAAGTATGATTTGTAATCATAGCCAGTATGTTTTTTAGGTCTTTGTGGCAATAGCAACAGTGACACCACAGATGACTTCACCACCAACAGCGGGATCATTGAGAACTCAGCTAAACCATTTGCTATGTCCTGGAGTTTGCTTAATTGTTTCGGGAACATACCCACCACCTGCACCAACCTTGAGAATGGTACGAATTAATAATATGTTTGAGATTCTCTCTGTATGTCCGTCCTTTGATTTTTCTTGAGAACTACCCATCCGATTAACAGAACACTTGCATGATGCTGAGGACCGCAGCGAATCAAGTGTCAAGATAATAGGATATATACGTTGGTAGTGCATATTTACACAGTGGTTTGTGTTTACTGTGCCATTGCTACTTTTTGCAATTTTGTATGTCATAGCAGTTGTATAAATACCCAGGACAAAGAAGCGCAGCATCGAGTGTGAAGGGGTACCAGAGCCCCAGCAATGGGCCTTTTCTTATATGGCACCTTTTAGAAATGGCACTGCACTAGTGTGTATAAATTAAGACTCAATATTTGATTTGTCTACCGATCAGGGCTGAAAAGTCATTTAAAATATTCTGCATCAAATCAACTTGGGTTTTAAAACATTGAAACATGTTGATAACCTTGCCTGTGATATAATACTAATACACAAGGTCAATAAAATGCAATAACGATTTAAATATTTTTTTTTGGTAGAGAATTATGCTCATGAAAAGTGTGCAGTGTTAAACCAACCAACTGGGATATTTGCTAAGTGCCACCCTCATATCCCAACTGATTACTACTACACGGTAACAAGATTATTCCCCATACTAAATTCTTCATAAATTTGAGAATTTCAGAAATTGACCTAATTATTACTTATTTCCAGGCTTGCATCCAAAGAATATGTAACTCTGCCGGAAGTCGGAGACAGGGCTTGTGTATTGGTCTGGCCAGCTACGCCAAAGCCTGCGCCGGTGTTGGTGTTGTAATTGGTGACTGGAGGAGAATCACGGGCTGCGGTAAGTTTAGTTCTGAAAAATAAACAACGTATTCTGTGAACATCCACACTATTTATTTTCTAGAGTTTACTGAAAAGAACCAATGGAGGTACGCTATGTTCAACAAACTAAATCAACTGAATCAAATTAGTTCAGTTGCTTTTATGTGATTATGAGATGTTATTTTCTTTTGTGATGATAATAATACAATGATGATTAAAAACTTTTCGTGTTGCAGAATTTTATAAATGTAATTAAAGATTTATACAGAATATAGTTTGAAATAATGCTGTTGATAAAAACGGGAGTCTAAATTAATAAAATGTCCCATTTTAAATAGAATAAATGCATCATTGGTACATTTAATGTTGTGTCTCAGATCTGAAATGCCAGAAGAACCAAGAATTCTCCTACAGCATGCATATCTGCAACCGCACATGCAATTCTCTGACCGGCCATGACATCCGCTGTGATATGAACGACGATGCTGTGGAGGGCTGTGGCTGTCCGGAGGGAACTCACCTGAACCAAGGACAGACCTGTTGCCCAAAGGAAGAGTGTGGTTGTATTTACTACGGTGGTATTGCAGCCCCGGGGCCTGTTGTTATCGCTGGACAAAAGTGGTGAGTTGATTATCTGAGTATTGACAGCTTGTCTATAATAATACGACTGGTAATGGTTGAGGCTATTACCCATTGTCTTCCATAACCCCGTCTACCCAATGCTGTTATAGTGCGCTCGATTGTGGTGTCTCCACCTTTGATGTACACATACTGAAGCAAAATTATGTTATATCTCAAAGCAAATATTGTGTCTGTTTCAGCGACTGCAAGAATGGGGTACTGAACTGCTTGCCGAATTGTGGTGAATATATATTCTTCCATCACAATCATATTAACATTGTACTCGTTCTTTGCTATCATAGTTTATATCATTATTTAAAATTCAAAAATGTGAAGAAAAGGAAATTTAAATTAGGCATTTACCTTTCTGAAATATATATCACACAGATTGCAGAAATGGGAAGGTGTGTGTCAGTTGCTCTGAGGGCCAACATAAGAGGGTTCAGAAGACCTGTGACTATATTAGCAAACCAAAGGTAAGTCGACTGATTATTTGATTGTATCCATGGCTTGTTGGTCTATTTATTTGTATCCATTCTTCAATTGAAAGCAGTCACTACTTACCATTAAACAAAATTGGATAATGTTGCTATTTAATATCACGAGGGAGACTTGTTTTTACAGGATCAGGAATCAGGAATCAGGAAACATTTATTTGCCAAAATATGCTAAACATACATACAAGGAATTTGTCTTGGCGGTTAGTGCGCGACAGTAGACAGACAAGACAACAGTGCACTAGTAATAAAATAAAGTAAAATGAAATGCTCATGCAATGGGTTAGTAGAAAAAGGCTATGGGTTAGTAGAAAACAAGGGAATAAAGTTAAAAATTTTAAATATTAAAAAAGTTAAAAAGAAAAATACTAAGCATAAGGTGCACTAACAAACAAGTAACAGACAAGTAACAAAGTGACGAGTGACGACAAAGTGATGAATTGCAGTTAAAGTGGCATGTGCAGTGTGAAGGGGAGTGACCGATGGAGTGTTATAGTCAGTCAGTGGGGGACCGGGCTCTGTTGATGAGCCCGAGTGCCGACGGGAAGAAACGGTTCGTGTGGCGGGAGGTCTTAGTCCTGATGGACCTCAGCCTCCTGCCAGATGGAAGGGGCAACGGTTTTATAACTTCATGTTGTATGTGCATGTCTTCATGGACATGTACATTGTATCCTCAATGTTAACCCTATTCCAAATACAGTTTATTATTGTCGTCTATAAAACACTTCCTAATAACAAAATATCTTCATTTGCTGTGATTGGCAGGGTACCAGGGAGAACTGTAAGAGTGGCTGTTACTGTCCAGATCACCAGTATGAAGATCACCATGGGAACTGTGTTTCACTCGATGATTGCACCTGTGTGTTCAGTGGCAAAGCATTCAAAGCTGGACAGCAAGTTACCAGCAACTGTAAAACATGGTAACTCCCACTTATTTGATCAAAGGGTCCTATCCCGCCAAATGCTGATGAATCTGTGAATAAAAGGATGACATCACTCTATGTTACAGTACCTGTTATCGTGGTCAGTGGCACTGCATTGAGAAGCCTTGCCCGGGACAGTGCCAAGTCTACGGAAATGGACACTACCAGACCTTTGACTCCAAATGGTTCCGCTTTTCTGGACAATGTCTGTACACACTTGTGCAGGTAAGACCAAACAAGAAAGTAGGAATGAAATCCACTCACGCTCATATGTGTTTGCAATGCATCGCCAAATATTGAATGGCTTCTTTATTTATAGACAGAATTTGCCAAATTTTATTAACTTTTAAACTCTTCTTGCTTCAGGATTCCTGTGACATGAGAAGAGGCACCTTCTCTATCAGAGTGGAGAGTGTCCCCTGCTGTGAGGAGGTGCTCACCTGCTCTCGCAACATCATCCTTGACCTGAAGGTGGATTTTTTAGTTTCTATTTTACAGATACATCAATCAATAAAAGTCTAGTTACTTGTTTATCAACGCATTTATTCTCGTAACCCAAGGTCTACTCTTTTTTTTTTACCTAAAAAGGGCCAAGTCACCCTGACGCTGAGAGACATGCAGGTGATCAGACGCCTCCATGAAGGCTGGAATGGACAGGATGATTCACTTTACTCAATACACACTTTGGGACTTTACATTGTAATCTCAGTGCCAAGCAAAGGGATAACTCTCATCTGGGACAAACACACCCGGATCACCGTAGAGCTGGCGGGTTCGTGGAAGGTGAGTCAAGAGGATTTTAAAACCTAGCCATTTATTAACATCAGTTTGATGCTTTTGATTAGACAAAATAATAAAATGGGGGGGGGGGGGGGGGACACTTCTAAAGACTGAATTGAATTTGAAACCAACATTTTATACGGTTACTTAATGTCTTCAACTTTGCAGTTATTTAGCACAAATCAACTCAAATTTATATCAAACTGAATATGAATCGGATTTACGGACTTTGGAAAAATCAAGACTCCAGCAGTTACTTAAATTTTGTTTGGTACTTTTTCAGAACTTCCACATTTACTTTCTAACCATCTCTCCTACAGAACCGAGTGTGTGGCCTCTGTGGGAATTTTGACTCCAATGAGATGAATGACCTAAGTATAAGTGGTTCATCAGGTAGATAGGTGTTTTCTATGTTTGTTGTTTCATAAAAGATTTTTAAATTTTTTGGTGGTCGACTTAACACCCAACAAATATGTTTTCTAGTGTCCAGTCCAATGGCATTTGGCAACTGCTGGAAAGTCCAAACACCTCCTTGCTCTGATGTGACCACTGATATATTTCCATGTGAACGCAACTCCTACTGCGCAGCCTGGGCCCAGCAGCGCTGTTTGATCCTTACAGGAGAAACATTCAGTGAATGCCACTTAAAAGTATGCATGTTATAGATTTAGCACAAACAACGTCAGGTGTTAGACTGCTAAATATTTTACAAATTTCCATATCCGAATATGTCGTAATATGAAACCATGCAACTGTTTACAAAAAAATATTCTCACAGATAGCCCTAAAATGTGTAGATACAAACTCCTTCCTGGTTGTTTTCCAATCCCCAGGTGGATCCAGATCCCTACTACGATGCCTGTGTGCAGGAGTCTTGCTCCTGTGAGTCAGACGGGAAATTCCTCGGCTTCTGCACAGCTGTGGCTGCCTACGCACAGGCCTGCAGCGAGCAGCATGTGTGTGTGAATTGGAGGACACCTGATATGTGTCGTAAGTAAGGACCTTTTTTCCCTCACTAACGACACATGAACTTTACTCTAAAACAGGGGTGTCAAACTCATTTCAGGTTCGGGCCAGATACTGCCCACTTCGATCGAACGTAGGCTAGACCATTAAAACGAGCTATAGTTCCAATTCATTGTCTTGCTAGACTGGGTTAATGTGACACATTTAGTATTACAGACAATGTAATAGTCTGTTGGAATGTCACAAGCTCCGTAAACATTATATAATGTTTTATTGATTTAGTCATGTTTCTTAGTCATTATGCAGAGACCTGACGCAGTGTAAGACATAAATAAAGTAATCAACTTTTTTAATCAACAATTAATCTGTTGAAAATTGTCATAATTATTACCTTACCTGTTTAGAAAATATAAACTATAACGGGGTATTTCTGTAAAAGTTTAACTTGTGATCATTCAAACTATAGCGGTGTACTGTGACTACTACAACAAGCATGGACAGTCTATCTGGCACTATGAAGCCTGTGGTCAGATGCTGACCTGTGGCAAAGAAAACTATATCTCTCACAAGCTGGAAGGTAACCAAACATTCCCATTTCTATACAAACAGCCACATTTAATTCTTATTCATGGTAAGATGCAAACTGAAAACAATGTATTTCTACAAACAACCATCACAATCTAGATCAAATCAAAGGTTTTCTTCTATTCAAAGCATAAGAAAACAATAGCACTCATATTCAGACACATTTTGTTTATTTTTGGAAAAGGCTGCTACCCAAGATGTACAGAGAAGAAGCCATACTATGATGAAAACACTGGTGGATGCACCAGTTTAGGAAACTGCACCTGTTACCTTAATGGCACTATCGTTCAACCTCAGGCAGTGGTAGTAATACAGAATGTTTTATGGTAAGTTGGGCAATTTGTTTTTTGTCATTTCTGTTCATTTTAAAAATACTAACATTATACGTATGGGGCCATTTTTAATATTGATATATATGTATATATACTGTTTCAAAATACATAAATGTACAGTATCTCCATACTAATAATTTCATTACTCATTATGTTGGCAACTGAATGTTTCTCACTTCCCAACTTTATTATTTTCAGCCGCTGTGAAAATGGAGCCATGAACTGCGGTAATTATCAATTATATTGATAAACCACTGCCTTTACTATTTCATGTGTGTAATATCGGTTACACGGAACTATGGAATAGTTGTGTAACTTTGGTTTTTAAATGGTTTAGAGTTTGTACCAAAACAGAGAATGTTTTCAAAACACCCAACCTCAATTCCGCCTCTTCTTTGACAGACCCTTCATCGTCCACCACTCCAACATCCAGCACTCACACTGCTTCTGATTCAACAACCAGGGATGTGACTCGAACACACCATACTCCCACCGCTTCTGATTCAACAACCAGGGATGTGACTCGAACACACCATACTCCCACCGCTTCTGATTCAACAACCAGGGATGTGACTCGAACACACCATACTCACACCGCTTCTGATTCAACAACCAGGGATGTGACTCGAACACACCATACTCACACCGCTTCTGATTCAACAACCACCCATATGACTCGAACGCACCACACTCACACCTATACTGTTTCCACAACCAAGGGTGCGTGCCATCAACTTGTGCTGCACATTACACCATTGTTTCAGTTATTCTTGCGACCAGTTCCTTAAATCGCCAAAGTTATAATTGTGTCATTTCTTTATTGAGTTTCTTCACCCGTCTTGTGCTCATCAAATCACCAGATTGCCAGTGTTTTGACCCAAAGAATTATAAAATCTGGCACTGCGGTGAGACGTGGACAGAAGATTGCTTCAAAAAGACCTGTATAGGTGGGCTGATAGAGTTGAGTCCAGTGGTTTGCCCAGTGATGGAATTTCCGGACTGCCCCAGAGACAAGTTCACAAAAGTCTTGGATGGATGCTGTGAAACACTTAAGTGTGACTGTAAGTTTATCCTTATCTGCCTCATGTATCCTTTTTCTTGTTGTCTTTAACATTGCCTCTATATATTTATTTGTAATTGTTGATTGTGTTTGATTACTAAAGGTATTTACATACCTTTTGTGTTTTGTTTCTATATCTAATAAAATCCCCTCTCATCCTTTCTAGGTCGTTGTGAGATATATGGGGACTCACACTACACCACTTTCCAAGGTGTTAAGTTTGATTTCCTGACAGAATGCACCAACATCCTGGTGAAGGAGATATCATCACATCCTAGTTTGTACATTTCTGTGGAAAACGAAAACTGTGTAGCAGGCAGGCATCGCTCCTGTGCAAAAAGCATCACCGTGAAATATCAGGGATCTAAAGCTGTACTGAGTATCCATCCAGACTTCTCTGTAGTAAAGGTGGGATAAAATACAACTCTATTCATTTATAATATGGCATGCCCCCTATAATATATCTTGGCTATTTTGGTAATAGAATGTAAAAAAATAATATTTTGTGATAAGGGACGCTTTTACTTCATGGCTTTACTATATAAGGAATTAGAAATCTGGTTTGATACTAATTTAATCTACCCTAGGTCACTATGAACGGCGCGGTCATACAGCCACCATTGCAGGTGGCTGGGTTTAGGTTTGAGAGCACAATGGACACGGTGACAATCTACATGCCAGACATCCGCTCTTATGTCTCCCTCAGTCAGTCCCATAACTTGGTGGTCAGTTTGGCTACGGAGTACTTCCATGGAAAAACCCAGGGACAATGTGGTGGGTAGTGTATTGAAAAGGACTACCTTCTAGTATAGTTAAGTGCATGTTGATTTGTTTAATTAAACCGCACTTGTTTGTGTGTAGAGTAGAGATTTCAGGTAATACAATACAATGCAGATACAGTATATATATTCTTATATTATAGTCTGTCAATTCAAAACAATATCCAATGTTCACTGTGATATACTTTTCCTGCTCACTTGTTACACCTCGTTTTTTTCCACCCACTTTATTTTGATCTGCTAAAAGTGGCTACACATAGAGGCTTTATATAAATTAAAATGTACTTATGTACATTAGTCATCTGATTGGACCTCTGTCTTTTCTCCAGGTGTGTGTGGTGTTGGATCATGTATCCGTAAAGGAGGGAAAATGGAGGACAACAGCTGCTGTGATAAGACGGCTTATAGCTGGGTGAAACGTCACGGGTCCAAACCGGCCTGTGCTCTTTTACCAAGAGATGTAGAATGTGTCCAGACGACTGCGGTACCACCTACAACAACCACTTCTCTCCCCTGCCCTTCGAGCGCTCTATGTGTGGTGCTGGACCACCCGTAAGCTACACACACTAACACACACACCTCCTCGGAGAATTGAGGACGACTGTTTTTATCACAATTCATGTCATATGATCAAGGCCCAATGCGTAGCGTTTACTTAGGAGCTCTCTTTATGACTAATGCAAACATGTAATGGAAACCAGCCAGTTTCACTTGTAATACCGTAGTTACTGATGCAAGCATTCACCTGTAACACCTTAGCAACCTCCAAGAAACTGCCAACAAGTGACGCTGCAACCTGTTAGGAGCAACTTAGCAAATACATACTCATCTTGATGGTGTTTAACCACGTCTGTGTGTCTTTGTTTCCTCAGAGCCTTTTCAAAATGCATCAAGCACTTAATGCGTAAAAAGAAGATCTGCGTGTATGGTTCCTGCGATATCGATCGTTGCTCTATACTAAAGCGCGCTGCAAAGGAGTGCATGAAAGCTGGTGTCTGTATTGACTGGAGAGCACTGACTAATGGAAAATGCAGTATGTATCTTTTATTCATTTCTATTGTCTTTAAATCAAAGCCAGACAGGCCAGGGCTTAATGTATATTAAGTTATTTCCAATAATAATGTTCTTAGTAAAAACGTCTTTAATTGTTTTTGTTCATGTTTCAGCTATGACATGTCCAAAAGGATTGGTCTACAGACAATGTCGTGACAAGCTGGATGACTTCTGTCTTAAAGGGTTTGACAACGCACTTACTTTCTCTTGTGACATTTGTTTCTCACTTTCGGGAATTGAAAATGTTTCCGCTGTCAAGACTTCCATATTCACTTCTTCCCATCTTGTTTGGCTGTACAGAATCGTTAAAGAAGGAGCCCCCTTCAAGTGCACCAGAGAAGGCTGTTTTTGTCCCCATGGTCAAATCAAGGCAGACCAGGACTCAAACATCTGTGTGACGAGCTGTCCGTGTGAGTAAAATGTCCTAAAAGACACCTACACAGAGGCGTTTGGTCCCTTTACTAGTGTTAATGTGGAGTTTGTGTACTGTCCCTTAGATTGTAAAGGACCCCTCGGTGAGCCCAAACAGGTGAGTATCTTTGTCTCATCAGTGATAAAACAGTATTATTCCCGATGGGACATTAGCTTTAAAAAGTGTTTCTGTGTTTCAGCCTGGTGACGTCTGGGAGTCCGGCTGTCACATTTGTAAATGTAACAAAGAGACTGGAAAAGAGGAGTGTCATCTTAAACCTCTTGAGACAGAACCAAGTTGTGGCCCAGACTCTGTACTGGTAAACAAACCTTGCTGTGGTGAACAGATTTGTGGTGAGCACCTATGGTAATATGTTAAGACATCTATTTTCCCACGTGAATATTTGAAATAATTGGACATCGTTATTCTCTTTCAGTTAAGAAGACATGCAAATTTGGTAAAAGAACATACGAGGTACGTTCATCTTTTATAGTCTGTGTCTCCCTTATTTCGACTCCCTCTCTCATTTGAAATGAATCTTTGTACTGTATAGAGCAGGGGTCTCAAACTCGCGGCCCGCGGGCCAATTGCGGCCCTCGGGACGATATTTTGTGGCCCCATCCTTAATATGAAAGTGTAATGTTAGTGCGGCCCGCAAGTTTTATACTGTAACCCCACTGTCAGCTGCTGTGTGGGACATGTTATGATGTTCTGGTTTCCTACTGTGTGCTTGTCCAGTGAACGTGGCATGCATGTGACTGACATGGGGGGCGGGTCGTGTGTGTCGGCCGAGGTGCAGAGAGCAGGAGGGTGAAATTCAGTTTCCTGCCCTCTTTCGCGCAGGTGATCATGTGACTAACCGTTAGCATCGCTCGTTTAATAAAGTTTTCCTTTACGACTCACACTAACAACACATGAAGCATCTGACGTCACCGACGAGCGTCTCCGTCCATTACTACGCAGCTTCGATTCACGTAACTTCACGTTTGGCTATAAAGGAATTCCACGGTCACATGACCTTAGGTCTCCCCCGCTGAGTTAAAGGAGGACTAGTGTTGTAGTCTCATTCGGACCGATCCCCCAGGGTGGGGTTCAATGACTGCTTTTGAAAGTGAGTGTTAAGTTGTGTTATTGTCGACCATGCCGTTCGGACGCTAGTCTGGCCCGCGTTCGGTTGAAGTGGGCTGCATCTGGCCCGCAGCTGATTTGAGTTTGAGACCCCTGGTATAGAGTCTTGTTGTGATGTCATTTTTGTGTTTAGGTGGGAGAATCTTGGTCAGATGACTCCAGTCCGTGTCAATCATATCATTGCACTTTGGAGGGAATTCAAACTACAACCCGAGAATGTCCCAGAGTCCATTGTCATCCGGTACTGCACAACCCCTCCTCTTATTCTATAGAAATACCTCAAGCATTACTACAATTACCCTTCTACAGAGCGCATTTTTATTTATGGAAAAATGTGTTGGTCAAATTATTTTGGATTAATCCTATTATTATTAAAAAGGGTATATGGCTGGATACCCAAATTAAAAGATATTGTTCTATTCAGAAATATGTATATATAAGCGCACCCAATACATACATATGTATATATATGTACACACACATATACACATACATACACATATATATTACATGTACTCCTGAGTCCAGAAATAAAATATATACAAAAATCTGAAACACTAGAGGTAACTAATAGTTAGGTAATAAATAATAGCTACAACAACAAACATTTAACCTTGAGCTCCTATTTTGTAATTCCCAGGCCAGATTGATATGGGACGACCGCAAATGCTGCAAAACATGTAAGTAAAATACAAAAAGATAAAGTATTCAAGTCATTTACAATTTCAGTTTGTAAAAGATAGACATTTCCCTACAAGCCATTTAGGCCTTAGAAATTTAAACATTACAGTTCTTCACACTTTATAGGTGCTTTGCTTCCAATCAACTAACTGCCTCTGTTATTATTCCCTCACTCCAGGTAACAACACCTGTGCGCCCGTGTTTGGCGATGTTGAGTTCAGGACTACCGACTGTCACACCATATTGCACGTACCTGTCTGTATGGGCGAATGTGGTTCTGGCTTGAGGTAAGAAGAAATACTCTTGTCACTGATCTACACTAATAGTTGTGACAAACAGTTTGAGGTTTTTAGTGTTGATACTAACAACCTTTATCTTAGTCCTGTGTGCATTTTAGAAACCATTTGTCTGTGTTAATACCTCGTTTTTCTGTTGTCTTCCTTCCTTTCCCTCCTAATCTTCCCCCACTTTGATGCAACAGCATCAAGGTAGGCCATAAACTGAGGGTGCATGCAGAGAACAATTGCTGTCAGGAGAAGACCTCGGAGACAAAAACGCTCTCCGCGATATGCTACCACCCTATAACCAACAGAAGAGAGGAAAAAACGTTCACCTACAAGCACATCACCTCTTGTGAGTGCAGACTGTGTAACACACAACACTGAAAAAATGTTGTTAGCGCAGCCATTTTCATCCCGTTCCCTTCAGATTTCTAAATCAAATCAAAATATATAGGACTCAAATTGTTTTTAGTGATTCATTTTATTTCTTCTGCAAAGAAATTTTCTGATCTGCTTTTAGTCAAATAAAAGTAATCATTGTCTACTCACCAAGATTTGTTCAATGTGTCTTTATTCGGTGCATTATTAAACCCAACTTCACCAGCAAGGATTAGGACTTCAAACAACAGAGGGTTTTATTACTACAGCCATTTATTCTCTTTCTCCCTCTGCTGGTGACAGTTGTTACTACAGCCATTTATTCTCTTTCTCCCTCTGCTGGTGACGGTTGTTACTACAGCCATTTACTATCTTTCTCCTTCTGCTGGTGACAGTTGTTACTACAGCTGTTTTATCTCTGCCTTCCTCAGTTAATGGTCGATTATACAGTCGCCTCTTTTTATGACCTTTTCTTAGATATTTATCTGTTACACTCAGATCCACCCTTTTTTTAAAATCACTCCTACACATGTAACAACATTGTGTCCTGCTTCTGGCACACATAAACAAAAATGCCATAATGATATCTAGTCATTTATTGGTATTAATCTGAAGGCGGTGTGTGTTGCGGATGGCCAGCGGCCAGGTTTGCTGACAGTTACCCTCCTCCTCATCCATATGCAAATCCTATGGCAATGAGTACTTTTTACGACCGGTGATGACGTAAAAATTATTCAGTCTTTAGATAAGTAACATGTTAAATATATGACTGTGTTCTTATAAAATCATAAGGGGAAGAAAATAAACTTAAAATTCCCAAATACCAAAAAACAACTAAATTCTCGGTTCATTTGATATTTCATTAATGTGATTTTCACAGATCAACAGTATCGTCAAACTAAGACTCATTAAGTCTTTACTTACCCTCTACTTGTTTAAGCTTAAAATTATGAGATTAATTATAATAACCAGCCAATTAGTTATCAAACCTCTACGTAACAATTAAATGTTATCACAATCTAATTAACTCCAGTGTCACACAGACCCTTCATCTGCTGACTCCAATGATTCAGAATTTGCAACATTTAGCCAAAAAACATGATTGTACATGATTGTACACATACTGTGAGGTGGTGGGCTCAGGTTTGTGTATGTGTGAGGGAATGGATCATGACCCACAAAGGCGGAAAACAGCAAAATCATAGTAGATTCCCCTGAAGAAAAACATTTCATGGCTCCCTTGCACCCTTTACATCTAACAAAGGGAGCACAAAGAGAACACGTTATTTCGGGGCAGCACTTGGAACTGCAGACCAAAGGTCATATGACAGATGGAAATCTTTAAAGCCATCAGAGGTCTAATTGTTGCCAACTTCTCTAATTTGTCTCCTCAACTGTCCTTGAAAATACAGTGTTACTCCCGACAGAAAAAGCCAATAATCAAAGTTCATACACCAACCTGCCAGTTTTCCCTGTTTTACTTTACAGTACATTACATGTAATTTAGCTGACGCTTTGCAGAGCAGAGAGGAGAATGCGGGTTGGGGATGTAGGGTTTGACCATGTCCTGGATGTAAGCTGGACCCGATCCATTCTCAGCATGGGTACGTGAGTACCAATGTTTTGAACTGGAATGGGGGCCGGCACCGATAGCCAGTGAAGAGAGCGGAGGAGTGGCAGTAGTGTGGGAAATTTCGGAAAGTTTAAAGGCACCACTCGAGCTCCTCGATTTGTGGTTGAGCTAAACAGGTCAGAATGGTCGTAGCGCGGAAAACCATGCCAGAGAGGGAGTTGCAGTAGTCCAGGCGGGAGATGAGGAGAAGAGCCTGAATCAGTACCTACGCTGCCTTCTGATTAAGAAGGGGATGTATTCTCCTGATGTTGTAGAGCGTGTACCTACAGGATCATGTTGTCGCAGTGATGTTAGGAGTCATTGAACGTTGGGTGTCAAGTGTGACGCCGAAGTTCCTTGCGGTCAAAGTGGGCGTTAGCACCGAGTTGCCAAGGTTGACCGTCATGTCCCGGGTCTGAGAATCTTTTCCCGGAAAGTAGTTTAGTCTTGTCGGGATTGATTTTCAGATGGTGAGCGGACATCCACTACTCCGCCACTCCACTACTACTATCCACGCTGTCAGTCAGACAGATCCGTGCCGCCACCTGGGTGTCCGAGTGAGGGAAGGAGAGAATTAGTTGGGTGTCGGCATAGCTGTGATAGGAAAAGCCATGTGAGCGAATGACAGCGCCGAGAGAGTTGGTGTAGAGTGAGAAGAGGACGGGACCCAGGACGGAACGCTGAGAGTACAAGGTTCCGACACAAATCCTCGCCAGGTTACCTGGTAGGTGCGGCCGTCGAGGTAGGACGAGAGAAGGGAGAGAGCAGAGCCTGAGACACCAAGTTCCTGAAGGGAGGAAATAAGGATCTGGTGGTTGACTGTGTTAAATGCAACAGAGAGGTCCAGAAGGGTGAGGACAGAGGAGAGAGAGAGTCGGCTCTAGCAGTGTGGAGTTGCTCTGAGACAGCAAGGAGAGCAGTCTCTGTGGAATGGCCTGCCTTGAAGCCTGACTGGTGGGAGTCAAGGAGGTTGTTACGGTGGAGATAGGAGGAGAGTTAGTTAAAGATTGCACTTTCAAGAGTTTTGGACAAAAAGGGAAGAAGAGAGACCAGTCTGTAGTTATTTTCTTCAGAAGGCTTGAGGGTAGGTTTCTTCAGGAGTGGATTAACTCTAGCCTCCTAAAAACATATTTAATTTAAATTTGCTCTTTGCTACTACTACTCGGAACAACACTGACTTTGACTGTATCAAACCGACAAGCCCAAACCCTGTTTCGAGTCCATTTGAATAAAATCGAAGCGGTCACGTGACTGTGCGCCAGAACGAAGCTTCGGACGTCACTGATCACGTGATCAGCAGCAAACGAACCAAGCACCGATACATTTGCTTCGCCTTGCACTGGTTCAAATTTCGACACAAGCATAACAAGACTAGTAGCCAGGTAGTTCCGCGGGGATCAGCTGAGCACCTACCTACTCCTGTGTCGAGCCTCGGGTGTCACACAGTCGAGCTCCTCTGCCTGCCTGTCTGCTGCCTAGTAATTCACAATTGACTTATGTTTTGTGTTGCCTTTTTTTTCCTGCCGAAGAAAATAAATAACCCCTGTTGGAGTAAGAGAAACCTTGGTGGTCCTGCGTGTTGCATTTGGTTCCGTTTGCACAACACAACTTAGTAAATAATACCCTTAGTAAATAAACTGTAAGGTTCTGCAATTTTCATCAGACTGATGCCCTAACATTGTTTGTTTTGTCAAACCGAGGGTCCATGATTTAAATATGTTTGGTTTGGTAACAGAACGACCAAGGACAATAAAGAGGCTGAAGAAGCTATTGTGTTTGTCATTTTTGCTTGTCTTATAAGATGAATCAATTATCAATAATCAGTGTTGTTCCGATTTGCCTCTTCACAACACAACAATTATTATTGCTTGCCATTATTATCTTTATTGATCAGGTGTAATTTGAGTGAACATGCAGCATGGCTACCATGTGGAAAAATGAGATGTTCTACATGCTTTTGTGTAAAGGGGATTTTGTGTTTTACAAAATCAGCACAGAGTGATAATGGTTCATGAATTAACCTAGTACAGACGGTGTGCAAGAGTGGGACATGCTTGTAAGCATAATTGTGTACATGGTGTCCTGGTGAAAACATGGTCGCTTCTTAGGAAATGATAATCCAACTGAAAAAATGTAACTCATATGAATCAATTCAAGATACAGTACACTCCATCATTTACTTAAAAACATCTGTTTTTAAGTAAATTATCAAATATTTTGTAAATGTTGTACTAACAGAACGTTCTGTACTTCACCATGAGTTATAACAATTATTAATTCCGGTTAAAAATCAAATGTGCACAATGGTTTATTTTTCCATTCCATCATATGGCAGTTTTTGGTATATATATATATATAGGGCTGTCGATAGATATAAAAAAATGAATGATTAATTTAACATCATATCATCATCATATGAATCAACGAGTAATCACCTTAGTGTATTTTAGACAATGTTGTTAAATTTTAGTTTTTAAATACAAAACTACACAAATGTATAGATATAGATTATTTTTAACCAAATTAAATTTGTCTTAGAGACATAAAGTCAGCTGTTGAGAAATACAAACAATAACATATATAGAGTACATCCCCAGACTGCCGCCAGCAAACAAAACATTTCATACTGCCCGTCGTAGAACACACCTGGGGCCTGTTTCAATAAGGAGGTTCAACCAACTCTGAGTTAAAACTTGAACTCTGAGTTGACTTACCCTGAGATGGGAAACTCTGAGTTTTCGGTTACAGAACAGCTGAAATGAGTTAGTTCAATCAACTCTGAGTTGACCTACTCTGAGTTAAGCGCGTGCACCACAACTATAAAAAGCCATTATCAATGGAGCGCAGATATTACGAGTCACCATGGCAACAGCGCCAGACAAAAAGAGGTCTTCATATTTTTCACCAGCAGAACTGGATGTGCTTATGAAAATAGCTGCTCGAGTCAATGCGTAAGTTTACATTTGAATTACTGTTATACAGTGTTGTGTGTAATTAATTTCTATGTAATCTAAAAACTGTAATTTAATTCCGTAATTTAAAGTAAAATCTGATGTAATTGCATTAAATGCTGCATAAACTATAAAGCAATTCTGTATAAAACAATAGTGGATTTAACATCAAATTTAAAAAGATATATTTTTTCAAGAATAATTCATGCAATTGTATAATGTTTATTTGAAAGCATTAAAAGTGCAGTTTCTTGTCTCTCCTTGTATTGTTCAAGTGGTTGAGGTTGATGTGGGATTTAGAAAGTAATTAGTAATAAGTAGACCAATACTTTCTAGAGATAGTCATTATTACATTAATCTAATTACACTGTTGAAGAAGCCAGTTGTAGTTAGTAATATAAGTGACTTGCCCAACTGTTATAATATCAGAAGTGAAACTGGAAGAACAGTGTGTTATTCAACCTAATTTTAATTTTCATGTAGGTGCAATCCTGCAGGCATTAAAAGAACATGGCAGCAGCTGAAAATGAAATATAAAAACATAATTCAATTTAGGAAATAAAGAACACCATATAAATTGCTGTGATTTTGTGTTTATTCATTTTTATTTT